GCCACTGCACTTCAGCCTGGGCGACAGAGCGAGACTCCGTCTCAAAAAAAAAAAAAAAAAAATATTTTTTGTAGCAACGAGGTCTCGCTATGTTGCCTAGGCTGGTCTTGAACTCCCAGGATCAAGTTATCCTCCTGCGTCGGCCTCCCAAAGTGTTGGGATTATAAGTGTGTGCCATCTCACCTGGCCTAAAATTAGTTTTAAAAATAAAAAGTGTAATACATATGTACTATTTTTAAAAAATCAAATACTATAAAAGACTACACTATGGTAGTTAAAGTTTCTGTTTGGGGGATGAAAATATTTGGGAAATAGTGGCAATGGATGTACAACATCATGAATGTAATTAATGCCAATGAATTATATACTTAAAAAGGGATAGGCCAGATGTGATGGCTCACGCCTGTAATTCCATCACTTTGGGAGGCCGAGGTGGCAGAATCACTTGAGTTACTTGAGATTATGGAATCTGAGACCAGCCTGGGAATAGTAACACCCTATCTCTACAAAAAAAATTTTTTTAAATTAGCCAGGTGTGGTAGCGCATGCCTGTAGTCCCAGCTACTTGGGAGGCTGAGGTAAAAGGACTGCCTAAGTCCAGGAGTTCAAGGTTACAGTGAGCTATGATCTGCCTCTGTACTCCAGCCTAGGCAATAGAGTGAGACCCTGTCTCTTAAAAAAAGTGGGTGGGGAAGGGAGGGAAAGGGAAGGGTTAAAATCGCCAATTTTATGTTATATATATTTAAACCATAATCTTTAAAAGTAATAAAATATACCAAAAGTAATTCACTCATATAAAGTGAATTATACACTTTAAATGAGTGAATGATATGGTTTGTGAATTATACCTCAGTAAAAGGATATTCTCCATCCCAACCTAAAACTTCTGTCCCCTCCTCAGGGGCAACTATTTGTTTCTTAGCTTTCTTTCTAGAAAGAGTCTAGGCATAAACAAGTACATCTGAAAATCTATCATACTTTTTCTTTTCATACAAATGAAAGGAAGTGATACACCATTTTACACTCTGCTTTTTTTTACTTAATCTCTCTTAGGTTATTGTGTAGCAGCACATGCAGATTTACTGCCTTCTTTTCCACTTCTACATAGAAGCCCACTGGAGGGACCTATCACACTTTGTTTAATGAGTTAACTGATGAATATCTTGTTTCTAGTCTTTTTTTTTTTTTGAGACAGGGTCTTGCTGTGTCACCCAGGCTGGACTGCAATGGCATGATCATGGCTCACTGCAGCCTCCAACTCCTGGGGCTCAAGCAATCCTTTCACCTCAGCCCCTTAAGTAATTTGAACCACAGACAGGTGCCACTATGTCTGGTTATTTATATACTTGGTAGAGATGGACTCTCACTGTGTTGCCCAGGCTGGTCTTGAGCTCCTGAGTTCAAGTGATCCTCCTGCCTCGGCTTCCCGAAGTGCTAGGATTATAGGCATGAACCACCATGCCTGATACCCATGGTTTTAGGCAGACGCATGAATACATCATCTATAGGATAAATTCCTAGTTCTGGTGTTGCAGGGTCCAAAGGTTAGCACGTGTTAAGTATTACTATTGCCAAACTGACTTCCACAGAACCTATACCAGTTTACTCTTACCAAGAATTCATTCACTCACTTTTTTTTTTTTTTTTTTGAGACGGAGTCTTTGCTCTGTCACCCAGGCTGGAGCGCAGTGGCGTGATCTCGGCTCACTGCAAGCTCCGCCTCCTGGGTTCATGCCATTCTCCTGCCTCAGCCTCCTGAGTAGCTGGGACTACAGGCGCCCGCTACCACGCCCGGCTAATTTTTTGTATTTTTAGTAGAGACGGGGTTTCACCGTGTTAGCCAGGATGGTCTCGATCTCCTGACCTTGTGATCCGCCCGTCTCGGCCTCCCAAAGTGCTGGGATTACAGGCGTGAGCCACCGCGCCTGGCCCACTCACTTTTTTCATTCAACCAACACTGAGTACCTATCATGACCCAGGCACAATTCTAGGTCTTGGGGACACAGCAAATGAGCAATAACAACAGGAATAAAAAGATAAAAATCTATTCCCTAATGGAGCTTACAGTCTTACAGAGGGAGAGGGCAAACCAAAAAGTAAAATATGTAACATCTTAGGTGGTAATAAATGCTATGGTTGGCCAGGCGTGGTGGCTCACACCTGTAATCCCAGCACTTTGGGAGGCCAAGGCGGGCAGATCATGAGGTCAGGAGGTCAAGACCATCCTGGCTAACACGGTGAAACCCCATCTCTACTAAAAATACAAAAAAATTAGCCCGCCGTGGTGGTGGGTGCCTGTAGTCCCAGCTACGCGGGAGGCTGAGGCAGGAGAATGGTGTGAACCTGGAGGCGGAGCTCACAGTGAGCCGAGATCACCCTGGGCGACAGAGTGAGACTCTATCTTAAAAAAAAAAAAAAATGCTATGGCTAAAATAAGGCAGAGAAAGGAGTGTTAGCCATGAGTAAGGGCTGGTAATTTAAATAGGATAGTTAGGGTATAAAAATTCTAAGCCTCAGCTTCCTTATCTGTAAAGCAGGACAACAATAGTACCTATGCTGGCCAGGGGCCGTGGCTCATGCCTGTAATCACCGCACTTTAGGAGGCTGAGGTGAGCAGATCATTTGAGGCCAGGAGTTCAAGACCAGCCTGACCAACATGGTGAAACCCCGTCTCTACTAAAATTATAAAAATTAGCCGGGCATGGTGGTACACACCTGTAATACCAGCTACTCGGGAGGCTGAGGCAGGGAAATTGCTTGAGCCCGGAGGCAGAGGTTGCAGTGGGCCAAGACAGCACTACTACATTCCAGCCTGGGTGATAGAGCAAGATTTCATTTAAAAAAAAAAAAAAAAGTGCCTATGCCATAGGATTGTTGAAAGAATTCAATGATATTGTCTTGTATACAGTAAAAATTTCCTAAATGAAAGCTATTCTTATTATAAACAACTTTATAGCTACGGAAAGTGTGGCCCAGGAATGAACAGTTTGCCTACAGTTTCAGGGAAAATTAGTGGTTGCGTAAGAACCAGAACCAGGCCTCCTGACCCTCCATGCAGTACACTTGCAAATATACCAAGGGACCAAAAGCACTAAGACACCATCCTTCTGGGGCTGCTAATGGGCAATATGGTTTTTAGCTTCAAGAGTGCTCTGAGAATGTGATTTTCAACATGCAAAAGAGGGGAGGGGAGATGTGAGAGTACACAAGGTTCATCAAGGAGAAGCAGGCCAACTTCACTCAGGCCTAAGGCTGAGCCTGCTGGGGTTTGCTCACAAGATAGTCAGATCCAGGATAGTGTTCTCAGCCAAAGGCAACAAGCGTTCTGGCTGCTGCTGGCCCATCTGCTCTGATGAGACTCTCCCAAACCCTGGACTCCCATTGGTTTCATTCCAAGGAATCTCCTGGAGGAAAGATAAGCAGCAGTTAAGTCACAGCTGTAGAAATAAGATTTGGAGGGGCACTTTTATCTGTTTGGCCGAGTTAGATTTTCAAGCAGGCCAAATATGTGGTGGTGGTGGTCTCTCAACTCTCTCTGTGGCGATTTTCCTCACCCCATGGCACCTCCTCTCCCTGTCCACAGCCAGATACTCACTGTTTCCCCAGGCCTTCTGCCTACCCAGAACTCTTTCCTTGTGTGGGTTCTATCCTTCCTTTAGCCCTATCCTTTCTTCGGTGAGCGTTTCATTCCCTCCATTCCTCCTAACCCCTACTTTGGAAATACGTATTTTTAAAAAGGCGAGACTTACTGGCTTAACAGAGTCACTATGGAACAGGATTTAGGGAAGTCAGTGTTCTGGGCTTGACCTCTGTTAATGAGTGGGTGGCTATATGACCTTGGGAAAACCAATTACCTTTTCTGGGCTTCAATTTCTTCATCTAAAAAATGTATATTGGCTGTGCACGGTGGCTCACACCTGTAATCCCAGCACTTTGGGAGGCCAAGGCGGGTGGATCACCTGAGGTCGGAGTTCGAGACCAGCCTGGCCAACATGGTGAAACCCCATCTCTACTAAAAATACCAAATTAGCCAGGCATGGTGGCTCACATCTGTAGTCCCAGCTACTCAGGAGGCCGAGGCAAGAGAATCGCTTGAACTTGGGAGGTGGAGGTTGCAGTGAGCCGAGATCACGCCATTGTACTCAAGCCTGGGCAATACAATGAGACTCGGTCTCCCCCCACCCCAAAAAAAGTATATCATGACTGGGCTTGGTGGCTCATGGCTGTAATCCCAGATGTTTGGGAAGCCAAGGTGGAAGGATCACTTGAGGCCAAGAGTTCAAGATCACCCTGGTCAAAATAGCAAGACCCTGTCTTTACAAAAAAGAAAAAAAATTAGGCATGGTAGTTGTACATCTGTAGTCCCACCTACTCAAGAGGCTGAGGTGAGAAAATTGCTTGAGCCCAGGAGTTAAAGGTTTCAGTGAGCTATGATTGTGCCCACTGCACTCTAACCTGGGCAACAGAGGGAGACTCTTTCTCAAAAAAAAAATTTTTTTAAGATGTATATCATGGCATTTCAAGTACCACAGTGTAGATTTTTCTGCAAAGGGCAGATCCCAGTGATCCACCTGAAGACAAAAAGGTATACAGAGAAGTAGGAGGGCCAAAGGGAGAAACACTCAGAGTGGAGGTGCCAAGGCCACTAAAATGCAATTAAGAGGGGTGTAATACAAACCAGTGTTTGTTGAATGGCATCCAGTATCCAGTCCTGGGGCAGCCATAAGGAATTCACACCTGGGCGAGAGATTTAGGTTTAAAATCAATTCTTATGTTGGGTAGACCTCAATGCAGGGGGAATTCCAGACCAGCTTTGGACCATGGCATCTCTACTCTTAAGAAGGGAAACACAAGAAAGAAAAGGCACTTTGTCCCAGATCACTAGCCCCTCTGTTACTTGAACATCATGGTGTAGATCTGGCCATGAGGTTTCTCTGCAAGGCTAGAAAGAGGAAGACTGAGAAACATTTAATCAGGTTGATAAAAAGGGTTCTTGAACTCAAATTTGAGGGAGGACCTAAGAAGATTTCAAAAGATGTTAGAATTATAAGCAAATTATGTGGATGTTTCCACTTTTGTTTAAACTGTGGACAATTACATTAGGAGATGGAGCTTCTACTGGGGCAATCTGAGCAAACTTAAAAAAATATTAGTGATTATCACTATCTTTCAAGGTGTGAAAGATTATACTATCTTTCAAGGTGGCATCCATAACCTTATTTTTTATTTTATTTTATTTTATTTTATTTTTGAGATGGAGTTTCATTCTTGTTGCCCAGGCTGGAGTGCAATGGTGCGATCTCGGCTCACCGCAACATCTGCCTCGCGGGTTCAAGTGATTCTCCTGCCTGAATCTCCTGAGTAGCTGGGATTACAGGCATGCGCCACCATGCCCGGCAAATTTTGTATTCTTAGTAGAGATGGGGTTTCCGTCATGTTGGCCAGGCTGGTCTCAAACTCCCAACCTCAGGTGATCTGCCCGCCTCGGCCTCCCAAATTGCTGGGATTACAGGCGTGAGCCACCGTGCCCGGCCATCATCCGTAATCTTAATTTCATCCACAGAGAAAGGTAGAGAGCACCAAGGGGAATTGAGACATGAGATTCTGAACTCTGAAATAACCTATGATAGTCACTACATCATTGTTTCTGCCTGGAAAAACAATTCAGACCCGAAACTTTTCTTTTTTGATGCCCTGCAGTGGGGTTGACAATAAACTCTTACAGGCTTGAGCCTTGTGGCATCATCAGCACAGCAGAAACAGTTGTAGACATTTTGGGTGAAAAATCGACCAAGCCTGCTTAGATCCCTCTGCCTGCTAGGACAAAAATATGGTCAGACTTCCAGATTCAGCGGTGCATCCTAGCAGAGAAACACTGAAGGAAAGATGGCACTGTTTTAACAGAGTCTTCAGTGACTTTCCACTGAGCTGTGGGAAAATCTGGCAGTTGACTGTAGCTGAGTCATAACCCAGAGGTCCTGACCACTCAGATCTTTGAAGATTCCTTTCATTCCTTTCCCAAATGGGGAACCTGGCAGACTCCAATTGGTTAATTCCATTTACCTCCTGTTCCTTGCAACTACATGTAGGTGTAGAGTAGTGTGCTCTCAGCGGTAGCAAAAGGGTATCAGAATAACAGCATATACACTTTGTAATTATAATAGCTTATATTTATCTTCTACTTACTGTGTGTCAGGCACTTCCTATAGATTTATTTTTTCATTGAATCTTTACAACTGCCCAGCAGGATATTTACTATTATTATCCCTAGTCTACAGATGAAGAAACTGAGGCTCAGAGAGGCTAATAATTTGCCCACAGTCACATAGCTTGGGTGTGAGGTGCTGAGGTTTAACCTAAACATTCTAACTCCAGAGTTTGTATTCTAATCACTATGCTGTACTGTGGCCAAACACCAGCATGGATATCCCAAGCTCAAAGGCACTTCAGGTACCACAAATCAATCAATTTTCCAGCTGAGAAAACAGGCCTAGTGAGATTATAGGAATCACCTAGTGACAAAGTCAGGGTTCCAGGCAGGTCTCTTCACTCCAGAGTTCTACACTCTCTCCACTGCATCAGAATACTTCAGGTTCGTAGCCAAGCATGTGGTACACACTTGTAGTCTCTGCTATGATCGCATCACCGCACTCCCGCCTGGGAGACAGAGTGAAATCCCATCTCTAAAAAAATAAAATAAAATAGAAAAAGAATGCTTTGGGTGCTCTCCATCATCTTGAGAATCTGGAGCTTTTCTATATCTTATCCCTTATTCTTTAGGGAATGGAACTTAATTTTATATAAACATAAAATATTTTCACATAGTTTTTCTACAATATACTGATTTCCCAATCCTTCCCCCCTCAACTATTTTACATAGACTTTTTTTGAAATGGCATCTTACTGTGTCATCCAGGCTGAAGTGCATGGCGCAACCTCAGCTCACTGCAACTTCCACCTCCAGGGCTCAGGTGATCCTCGGCTACAGCCTTCTGAGTAGCTGGGGCTATAGGCACACACCACCACGCCCAGCTAATTTTGTGTTTTTTTGTAGAGATGGAGTTTAACCATGTGGCCCAGGGTGGTCTCGAACTCCTAGGCTCAAGTAATCCACCTGCCTCGGCCTCCCAAAGTGCTGGGATTACAAGCATGAGCTACTGTGTCCAGCCTATGTAGACTTTTAAAGGGCATTTTAAGTTCACAGCAAAAGTGAGTGGAACATATAGAGCTATCCCACAGACCCCCTGCCTCCACACACAGCCTCCCCTGCTATGGACATCCAGCACCAGAGTGGTGCTGCATAACAAACAATTTGTTACAACTAGTGAACCAACATTGACACATCATTATCACCCAACGTCCATATGTTTGGATTAGGGTTCACATTTGGTGTTGTATATTCTATGGGTTTTAGCAAATGTATAATGACATGTATCTATCATTATGGTATCATATGGTACTGTTTCACTGCCCTAAAAATCCCATGTGCTCTATTTATTCATCCCTTCCTCCCAAAGCCCCTGACACCCAGTGATCATTTTACTATCTCCATAGTTTTGCCTTTTCCAGAATTACATATAGTTGGGATCATATAGTATATAGCCTTTTCAAATTATTTCATTTAATAATAAGCATTTAAGGTTCTTCCATGTCTTTTCATGGATTCATAGCTTGTTTCTTTTTAGCACTGAATAATATTCCATTATATGGATGTACCATATAGTTTATTCACTGATTTATCTACAGAAGGACATATTGGTTGCTTCCAAGTTTTAGCAACTGTGAATAATGCTGCCATAAACACTCATGTGTAGGTTTCTGTGTAGACATAAGTTTTCAACTCCTTTGACTAAATACAAAAGGACAATTGCTAGACCATATGGCAAAAGTAGGTTTAATTTTATACAAAACTGTCAAACTTTCTCCCAAAGTAGCTGTACTGTTTTGACTCCCACCAGCAATGAATGGGAGTTCCTGTTGCTCCACATCCTGATCACCATTTGGTGTTGTCAATGTTTTAGATTTTAGCCATTCTAATAGGTGTACAGTAGTATCTCATTGTTGTTTTAATTTGGAATTCCCTAATGATGCATGATCTTAAGCATTTTTTCCTACGCTTATTTGCCATCTTCTTTGGTGAGGTGTCTGTTCAAATTTTTTGCCCATTTTTTTTTTCTTGTAGAGATGGGGTCTCACTATGTTGCCCAGGCTGGTCTCAAACTCCCAGCTTGAAGTGATCTTCCCACCTCAGCTCCCCAGATGCTGAGATTACAGGTGTAAGCACAAGCCTGGTCACCTCCCCCCCTTTTTTTTTTTTTTAGACAAAGTCTCGCTCTGTTGCCCAGGCTGGAGTGCAGTGGCGCATCTCGGCTCACTGCAACCTCCACCTCTAGGGTCCAAGCAATTCTCCTGCCTCAGCCTCCCAAGTAGCTGGGATTACAGGTGTGTGCCACCACACCCAGCTAATATTTTTGCATTTTTTGTATAGATGGGGTTTCACTATGTTGGCCCACTGGTCTCAAACTCCTGGACTCAAGCAATCCACCTGCCTCAGCCTCCCAAAGTGCTGGGACACCATACCCAGCCTTCGGTTATGATTTTTTTCTCTTTTTTCTTTTTTTTTTTTTTTTTTGTTGAGACAGAGTCTCACTCTGTCGCCCAGGCTGGAGTGCAGTGGTGCAATCTCGGCTCACTGCAACTCCGCCTCCCGGGTTCAAGCGATTCTCCTGCCCCAGCCTCCTGAGTAGCTGGGATTACAGACAAGCATCACCATGCCCAGCTAATTTTTTGTATCTTTAGTAGAGACAGGGTTTCACCGTGTTGACCAGGCTGGTCTCAAACTCCTGACCTTGTGATCCACTTGCCTCAGCCTCCCAAAGTGCTGGGATTATAGATGTGAGCCACTGCGCCTGGCCCCAGTTATGATTTCTAGTAGTCAATTATCGAGTGTTTCCTGATCTCTGCATAATGCCCTCCTCTACCCCTCCCTTTTAGGAAATGACCAGCTAAGGCTCCAGTATGCTCCCTTAGTTCTCATCTCTAGGGAAGCTTTCCATCTCTAGGTCTTACTGTGTGTAGTTTATTTCTTATATCCTGCCGCCTGTCATGGGGACAGTGTCCCTATTCCTCCCATGCAGTTTGTTCACAGTGACCTTGGCCCCACTAACCTTTCCACCCTCTTCTGTATCCAGACCAACAAATTATCCCCTTTCTTTAGTGAAGGATTAGAGATGAATAAGAGCCTGGAAACAGCCACATGTAGTGGAAAGAGTTTAGTCTTAGTAGTCAAACAATTCTTGACTCCTCTGGGCAAGTTAGTTAATCATGCTGTCTCATGCCCAGTGGACAGGACACTGCTGCTTATAAGGTGATAATGAAGATTAAACATAAAACATGTGAAGGGGTCAGCCCATATCCTAGAACACAACAGATACTGCTTTCTCTCTCTCTTCTGGCCTTTTTCTCACTTCTCACAAAAAATGTTCAAGAAAGCTTCATTTTTAAAAAGCCCAGGCCAGGCACAGCAGCTCATGTTTATAACCCTAGCATTTTGGGAGGCCAAGGCAGGAGGATTGCTTGAGCTCAGGAGTTTGAGGTCAGCCTGGGCAAGATCTTGAGACCTTGTCTTTACAAAAAATTTAAAAATTAGCCAGGACTCGGTGACATGCACCTGTGGCTCCAGCTACTCAGATGGTTGAGGCGAGAGGATCACTTGAACCCAGGAGGTCGAGGCTGCAGTGAGTTGTAGTTGCACCACTACACTCCAGCCTGGGTGACACTGCAAGACCCTGTCAAAAAAAAAGGCCCTATTTCATCTTCAAAGATCCTTTCTTGCCCCCTATTCAATTCATTCTTATCACTATTTACTGAGCCAGGGACCACCTTTTCAATACTCTCACAAATGCTGAATGCAACACATAATTACAAATTGGTCTCACTGCAGCATTAATACTGCTGGACACTCTGACACTGGGGGCCTGCTGATTCCTGCATCTCCTTTAACTTCTCTGTACATTTCTGTCTCAGGTACTTTATACTTCTCATCTTTCCACATCCTGGTCTCTTCTATTCCCATGGCTTCAACAACCACTATTTGCTAAAATTTCCAGTTTTCTCTCTCTCTAGTCCAAATTCCAATCCTTAGGCCCCAGACTTGAATTTCTAGCTATTCACAGGGATCTCTTTCTGGAGGTCCCAGGAGCATCTTAATGTCCAAACTGGCTTTTTCTTCTCATGGCTCTTATTTCCTAAATGGCTTATATTATTAAGCCAATGCTGAGGCAAGAGGCCAGAATCATCCTGAATGTCCTTGTCTTCTACATTTCATATTCTATGTTGGAGTCATCACAATCCCTTTGATTTTCAATTCCAGAGTGGCTCTTGAATCCATCCCCACGCCATTTCTAGGGCTTTAGTTCAGTCCTTTATCATGTCTCACCTCAGATACTGCTGCAGACTGGGAGCCCTTATTGCCAGGCACTCACCCTGCTCATACTCTGCTTAGATCCCAGATTTATGTAATTAATAGATCTGAGAATATTAATCATCTGCTACAAAGTCTTCCATAGCACTAAGTGAAATACTAAATATTAGTATCTCTAGCTCCCATTAGAATGGAAGTACCTCAACACTATTAAAGACCTTGTCTTATTAATTATTATATTCCATGGCATATTATTGTACATTAAATATTCATTAAGAAATGTTTATTAAATGAATGAATAAAATCCCAGAACTATGCCATGTATAGCAGGGCATATGAAAGAAACATAGGATGGTCCCTGTCCTCTAGGAGCTAACACTCTTATAGGAGAGACAAGATAAAAACAAGAAACTGGGCCAGGCACAGTGGCTCATGCCTGTAATCCAGCACTTTGGGAGGCCGAGGCAGGCAGATCACTTAAGTCCAGGAGCTCGAGAGTAGCCCAGGCAACATAGCGAAACCTATCTCTACTAGAAATGCAAAAACTAGCCAGGCGTGGTGGCACACGCCTGTAGTCCCAGCTACTTGGGAGGCTAAGGAGGGAAAATGGCTTGAGCCCGGGAGGCAGAGGTTTCAGGGAGCCGAGACAGCATAAC